GCAGGCAGGCAGGTACGTAGGTAGGTGGGTGGGTAGGTAGGTAGGTAGGTAGGTAGGTAGGTAGGTAGGCGGGAGGTAGAGGTGAGGTAGAGGTAGAGGTAGAGGTAGGCAATCAAGGTAGCCAGCAGGTAGGCAGGTAGGTACGCAGATAGGTAGGTAGATAGATAGACAGATGTCTTTGTGTGTGTGTGTGTGTGTGTGTGTGTGTGTGTGGGGTGTGTGTGTGGTGTGTGTGTGTGTGTGTGTGTGTGTGTGTGTGTGTGTGTGTGTGGGGTGTGTGTGTGTGGGGTGTGTGTGTGTGTGTGTGTGTGTGTGGGTGTGTGTGCGTGTGTGTGTCCGTGTGTTGCATGCGTGCATGCTCTTATTTTGTGTGTGTATTTGCACAATCTGTGCCAATGTGGATGTATGCGCATGCGCATGCATGTACTGTGGTCTTTCAAAGCTTCTGGATTCGCAGAATATTCTCTAAGGGGCCGAGCCTCATAGACCCCAAGTCCATCACCGACACGATGCCAAGGTTCCTAGCAGTCGTGCCAGCTTCTGGAGATGTGAAGCCCAACACGAACAATGCAGCCAGGCTGCCTTCAGTTCTATTGTCCTTTCTGACACCCTGGTCAGCCTGTTGTTTAGGCTTGCCAAGCCCGGAAAGCGCTTCGCCCCACGCCTTGAAGTTGCTTGATGCTAAACCCCCCAACCTGGACCCTTAAATTGCGTGAACTGAAGCCCGAACCCCCTAAGCCCAAGGCCATGAAGTTCATTATGGAGAACCAGCTCGAGGACGGCAGTGTTGGAGCAGGCCTCGTTTACAGTCGAAGCCCGACACGCTAACCACACCCTACTCCCTATACCCTGAACTGAATCCGGGGCATTGCTTGGGAACTACCTTGCATTTGCATGATAGCATGTAAACTTGTGAGTTATAGAAAACGTTCGTATTTTGGGTCCGAGGGGCTGATAATCATCGAACCCATACCTCAAAAAAGCAGGGTCGGCATTGGGAACTCACATGTTTCCATTGCATCCGCAGGACCGGACGGTTGGGGTCTTCTCCAAGTGCGACCAGACCAGCAAAAATGGCTCCGATGTCCTTCGTGCCCTTGTGCTCAATGAGCCCACGAAAGAAGGCGAAGCCACCGAGTCTTAATCCCTACCCAAGACTAACCCCTGGAGTCCAAAACCCTAAATCCTAAAACCCTAAACCCTAAAACCCTAAGCCCTAAACCCCAAACCTTAAGGTCCCTAAACCCTATGCATCACACCCTACCTGGCCACTGTCCTAAAGAACCTACCTGCCTAAGGATTTATAAAAGGAAATCATACTAAGGAGCCCTAAACATGTAGCTGTCTTAACGATTTGTATAAGGAAGTCATGTAGGTGTGTCGTGTTATGGGGTCCAGGCAAACCTTAAACCTTAACCCTCCACGCTTTTCTCGACCGAAACATCCTTGAACGTCAACCCCTAAACCCTAGATTCCCTAAACCTGAAACCTCCTTAAACCTCTAAAGCCTAAACCCTCTTAACATCCTTAAACCAACACTTCTTATCTCGACCTGGCAGGTGAATCTCCGGAGAGCCTGGGCCGGATCCACTTGCAGACCTGGGTCGCGAGCATGCTCGAGCCACCGAAGGACGGATTGGGATGTGGAGGGGTGCCTGACATGAAGTATATATATATATATAGATATATATATATATATATGTATATGTAAATGCATGCGCACATACATATACCCTTAGGATTGTATGTATGCCTGTAAAACCGATAGCTAGCTACCAAGGAAGATAGACAGGAAGACAGGTAGATAGGTAGATCGATAAGGTTTCCCCAAGGCTTCCAGCGCGTCGGCACTCAGCCCTCAACGGCCGTTGGTCTAATCCCTAAACCTTGAAGCAGCTATAGCTTAAACCCTGAAGCCCACATAGAATCTCTGCAGAAGCCTGTAGGTAATGTCAAAAGAAAGATGGAGCAAGTGACCTGTGATTTTCGGAAGCCTCGGAACTGTGTCGCAGGCCTCTTGCGGTGACATATTCAGGCTCAGAAGCTCGCCAAGTTGTCAACAGTACACATAAACGCGGCGTACATCAAGCCCCCAAGCTGCGAGGAGTACAAAAGCAACTTCGAGAGGCTGGAGCTCCAAGGAAAGAACGAGATCAAGTTCTTTCAGGAGGATCGGGCACGGGGCCTTTGTGATGGGGCGAAGAAGGGTGTGGTGGTTTTGTTGAATATTACCTATGCATGCCTTCTGACTATGTCTTCAGTCCCATATTCGTGGCGGTGGGGATGGCGCACCGTCGTTACGGGTCCTCGTCCTCCTCCTCCTCCTCCTCGTCTTTGTCGTCTCTTCTTTACTTTCATAGTCGTGAACCCTGGCTCCAACCCTAGGCATAGCCGAGGTATGGCTTGCTATGCCGGGGTTGCACTCAAAAGCAGCAGCTCGATTTGCTCGTTCAGCAGGGCTGCTGGGTGTTGGCTTGCAGTGGGCAATGGTTGCATGTGTCCAAGCTTGCCTCGAGGAAACATTCGCTTCTAAGATGTTCGAGGGGCTCTCCCTCAACTCTAACACCCAAACCGGCTCTATTTGAGCTACATCTCTCGTCCCGGACAGGAGGATGAGAACTTCCGGGAGCTGTATCAGCGCGGACATGCCGGCATGCGAGCCCTCATCGCCAACATCGAGCGTTCATATCTGAACCACGACAGGCATGAGACGGTGGGCCGTGATGATTTGATTATAGCAGGCTTTGCACGTTCTACAATACCAGAAGTTTAGCTTGCTCTCAACATATGTATTTGTGCGTGCGTACATATTTATATATATATATATATATGCATATGCATAGCTACATATATATATATATATATATACATATGTGCACACACATATTTATATACGGGGCTACCTCAGGACTAGCTGCAGGGGAAATTTTCACAAATTATTCAGATCCCTAAAGTGGATTCTCCGTTCTCTTACACTGGAAGCCCTGAAGAGCCAAGGAATCACTTGAACACGACCTGGAAGCCGAATGCCATGCGCAAGGCACTCTCGGTGAGTTGGAATCGCTCATTCTGACAGCCGATGAGTCCCCACACTTCGCCCAGCTTGATGACCGTCTTCTGTTTCCCTTCTTCTCGAAACCCCACCTCCCGTACCTTATTCCAGCCAGGTCTTGCTAAAGGAGAAAGACGTCGCCTTCCAGCTTTGCATGCTCGGACTCGTGGAGGACGGAAGTCGGTCCGCAACCACGAGACCTCCGAAGAAAAGCCCTGGCGCTGGCAAGAGGTCGTAATCCTTTCCCAAGCCTCGAAGCGCTCCCCCGAATTCAGATTAGATTTCAAAGGGCGTGGATGAGTTTGGGAAGATTGGGCCCTGTTTTTCGCGCGATGTTGGGGTGCGTGCTACATGTACGAAGTGTATGCATATATGTATGATGAAACATGTTTTCCTGCCATGCTCCTCTGTTTGGAACCCTGTGAGCAGCGGCCGACAGCCTTCGCGAGTTTGTGAGGTTGGGGTGCAGGAACATAAATTCCCGAGCCTTAAACTGAAACCCCCCAACAGCACAAGATGTATCATATACTTCAAGCGACATCGTTGGGATGCAGGGCGAAAATGTTTAGGACTTAAAGTCCTAGGGTTTCCTTCGGAACATTCGGCTTTCGGGTTTGAGGATGCTTGAAAACCCTGGGTTCCCACGCTTCAGCACTTGGGGTGTGGTCCAAGCTGGAATGTTTGGAGCTTTCGGGATCCTGCTATAGATGTATACCGAGCACAGCTTCGGCGGGAAATAGGGTCGACATAGGCATAGACGGGAGATGAGGTTGAGCGCTAAGGCCGATGATCAATGGCAATGAAATGCCCCCTGCTGGCCCCAATATCAGTGCACCAAAGCATACCGCAAACCCTATTGGTTCGCAACTCTCCCATCGAAGACTGAGCCAGAGAGTGTGAGAGGACGCAACGGCTCGCTCCAGCTTGGCAAAGGAGGAGGTTGGGTGTCGGTGGGGATCGAACGGACAGATCCACAATGTTTCGAAGTACTTATTAGCAGGGAACCACACTTTCGGCAAACCTATAGACAGGAAGCCTGGCTGTATCGGGTTATTTATTGTGGAAAGAAATCAAACACAGCGTGAAATGCTGTTCGAACTGTGTGGGCCCGTAGCTTGAGGCACGTGGGTTTCAGGTGTGGAGATTCATGTTTAGGGTTTTGGGAATAGGGTTTAGAGTTCAGGGTGTTCGGAATATAGGGTTTAATCCAGGGTTTCGGGTTTTGGGAATAGGGTTTGGGATTTTGGAGACTCAAGTTTTGGGAGTTCAGGAGGAGATCGGATTTGGCAATCGGACTTGGTCTTCTGGGTTTGGGGCTCCGGAGTTCGAGTCCCATTGTCATTCCCCAGTTATACACAGTATAGTAGAGCATACCGCTAATGTACCCCAAAACCTCTTCAAATTATTCCTTGTTACCCTAAACCCTAAACCCTTCATTCTAAAATTTCGGCCTGAGAGAAGCTCTGCAGGTTGAACGGCGTTTGGGAGTGACCTCGCCGGTCACCAAGCACGCCCACTGGCAGCATCCAAGTTTTCTCGAGTGGGTCCCTAAACCCTAAACCCTAAACCCTAAACCCCTAAACCCTAAACCCTAAACCCTAAACCCAATGCTCAGATCTCACTTGGCCACAGAGCTTCGGGTTCAGTCGTTTGCATTGGAAATGTAGGGCTTGGGGCAGTTCATGCACCGCTGAAAGCCGTTCGCAGCGATGCCAACGTTTTAAGAAGCTCAAGCGGTGAACGTCAACCTCGAGAAGCAGCCGTGATGAGCGGAACAGGTCAAAGTGCCAAGTACAAGTCCTACAGATTACATACTGCAGAGTTTAGTAACATACAGTGAACCTTCCGGCATGACAATGGCGCAGCATCTCCGAACGACAAGATGAACCACCCTAAGCCCCCTACTTTCTCATCTGACGACTGGGCTGTCGTAGTCGTGCCGGCACACACCCGAGCGGGCATGTAGCTTGACAAGGTTGCCCCTCAACGTGAACCCACCAAAAACTTGAATTTGTGCGTTGGGGGGTGCCTCAACATGCTGCAATCTGCGAGAGGCGTCCCGAAAAGACGCGTTTTCCTGAACTCTGGACGACACGAAGCTACCTGAGGTTTATGAGAACTTTCTCCTTCGCGCCTTGCGGGTGGATCTCGCCATCGCAGTCCGACAGCGAACCTGGGAGAATACTCTCCAAACTCTGTATATCTTAAACCAGGTTCTTGCAGTGCAAGGTTCTCTTTTTCGGAGGCATTCGGATGCATGGCCCAGGACCTCCGAGTTTGCAGTTTCATAAGCGGTTGCGGGACCTTTGCAGTCTACTGCAAGTCTTGTTACGATCCTGGGTGCAATGCAAGGTAGGTTGAGGGTTGAGAAACCCCTAATTGAGTTGACGGCTCCGGGTTCGAGCAATTCAGTTTGTATTAAAGCTTAGGCTTGAAGGCCCTGTGACGACATGTACCAACCCTACACCCCAGACCCTAAACTTTAATACTGCACATTCAATCGTAGATCCGTAAATCCCTATAATTACTCACTATCCTTGGCTGGCTGAGGACTGTCGCGGTACGACGGGAGTGGCTTTATCTGCGACGGCTGCGAGCAGATGGAGGAACTTCAGACTAGCCTGAAGTTTACGGCTCGGGTTTACGGCTTAGTGCTTAGGGGTGCAATGTTTAGTTCCAGACCTTTGTTCGAGGATTTAGTGTGCAGGGATCAGTGCTCAGGGTGTTTCGGGAGCATGTGCAATAGCTTGAGGTTTGGAGCACTCTGCCCCTTCTTTGCGGGATTCCAAGGAGGCGATAGAGAGCTGCAGGTGTGGAGGTGGACCCTAAACCCTAAATCCTAAACCCTAAACCCTTTTCGTTCTTAGATATTTCCCAGGGAGTTGTTGAGACTCGTCGGCTCATGAGCCTGAGGTTTGGAGTGCGTTGTTCTTGCCTTCGGTGCTTGGGGTGGCGGTCATCAGGAGTCGAACGTGGGGAGGCATGAAGGCTCAGAACCTAGTCTAGTTGAGACGAAGTCGGCTTAGGCTCCATAGTCTATTACTATAGATGGAGGATTTCGGGGTAGGATTCAGGGAACCCCATAAACCCTCAGCCCGGGACCGGGGCTAGGGTTATAGGGTTTAGGCTGAGCCACAAGCCTCCTTCAGCGCGAAGGCCCTGCCGGGAACGCGGAAGACGGACCTGCACCTAAACCCTAAACCTCTAACGCCCTAAACCCTAACACCTTACTAACCCTAAAACCTGAACCTCAATACATTAAAACACCTGAACCCTGAAGCCTAAACCTAAGCCCTCAACCCGAGCCCTAAATCCTGAAACCTTCCATCTTTGAGGAGATGGCTTCTTTGCAGAAGGAGCTCTTGAGCCTCATCCAAGGCGCAAGGGAGAACAGTGGTTCCGAAAATTATCAGGTGTAGGGTGTAGGGTTCAGGATTTAGTCGGCTTTCGGTGTAGAAAGATCTTCCGGCTACAGGCTCTATACTCAATCTCGTGAATCCCAAACCGGCGAGTTATGGTGGTTCAGTGAGATGTCGTCATGCAGGCTCTGCAGTATATATCAGCGCTGAGACTGCAAAACCCTCGAGCCTCCAAGAAAAGCGGTCTACTGAACTTATCTAGAGCTCGAGTCTATACTGTCTATACTAGTCTTTGCGCTCTGTTGATTGTGCAATCAGACTTCTTTGCGCGCTCATGGCCAGAATGCTTCGTGTTTGGAGACCCTCTGGGCATGAGCTGGTTGTCGATAATGCGGCGACGTTCGAGGATGCAGCGGCTTTGAAGGAGTATTTGTGCGAAACATATATTTTTCCCTGTGCATTTGCAGCAACTTGTTCTAGGTGGCAGTGTCTTGGATGATGATGCCAAGCTAGATGCCTACGTGGATTTGCAGTTGGTGCTGCTGCCGCCTGCGTCCTCAGATCTAGCAACTGCTGCTGCACAGGGTCATTTTAAGATGGTCCGGTGCTTGCTGGAATGTGGTGCAGAGAAAGACTGCTGGGACGAGGACGGATGGACGTCCTTAATGCAGGCATCTCGAAATGGCCACCTGGAGGTTGCAAGTTTGCTGCTGGAAGCTGGTGCTGACAGAAATTGCTGGAATAGCAGAGGTATGACAGCACTAATGCTCGCATCTGAAAGTGGTCACTGTGAACTTGTACAATTGCTGCTGGAAGCTGGTGCTGAGAAAGATTGCTGGACCCGCCTGGGCATGACAGCCCTAATGCTCGCATCTCGGAGTGGCCACTTGGAGGTTGCACGTTTACTTCTGGAAGCTGACGTTGCAAAAAATTGCAGGGATCACTGGGGCATGACAGCCCTAATGCTCGCAATTGAAAACGGCCACTGCGAAGTTGCACAATTGCTACTGGAAGCTGGTGCTGAGAAAGATTGCCGGACCCCCGACGGCGTGACAGCCCTCATGCTTGCGTCTCGGCTTGGCCACTTCGAGGTTGCACATTTACTGCTGGAATCTGACATTTCGAAAGATTGCAGGGATTACAACACGGGCATGACAGCCCTGATGCTCGCATCCAGAAGTGGCCACTTTTTGGTTGCACGTGTGTTGGTGGAAGCCGGAGCCGAAAAAGATTGTTGGAGTCGCCAGGGCGTGACAGCCTTGTTGCTTGCATCTGAGAATGGCCACTGTGAAGTTGTATAACTGCTGCTGGAAGCGGGTGCTGAGAAGGATTGCCAAAATTGCCAAGGGCAGACAGCCCCAGTGCTCGCGTCGCGGCGTGGTCAGTTTGAGGTTGTACGATTGCTGCTGGAAGCTGGTGCTGCGAAAGATTGCTGGGACGAGGACGGAAGGACGTCCTTAATGCAGGCATCTCGAAATGGCCACCTGGAGGTTGCAAGTTTGCTGCTGGAAGCTGGCGCTTGCAAAGACTGTTGGACTAACACAGGTATGACCGCCCTAATGCTCGCATCTGACGGCGGTCATTTTGAAGTTGTACGATTGCTGCTGGAAGTTGGTGCTGTGATAGATTGCTCGGACGGTGATGGCATGACTGCCCTAATGCTTGCATCGGAGAATGGCCACTTTGAAGTTGTACGATTGCTGCTGGAAGCTGGTGCTGAGAAAGATTGCTGGAATTGCCGGGGCATGACAGCCCTAATGTTCGCGTCTGAAAGTCGCCACGTTGAAATTGCACAATTGCTGCTGGAAGCTGGTGCTGAACGATGATTTGCAGGGGCATGACTGCTTTTCGAAACTAGTGCGGCGCGATGTGGATGACAGCCCGAATGCTCGCATCTGAGCGACCTCATTGGGCCGAGCAGCATCGCCACTGCTGAGTCAAAGAGCGCTGCAATTGACGGTGGCAGGCACAGTAAAACAAATAGCTCTCGCACTTATAAGGGTTTAGGATTGAAGGTTCATTGTATATAGATGCCACGCTATGAACCCTAGACGCTCCAAAGCAGCCCTAAACCCTAAACCCTAAACTTTCTGGAATACTTGCCTCTGTGAGGCTCTCCTCGGACATGTGCCGGGGTACCCCTAATTAGGGTTTAGGGTTTAGGGTTTAGGGTCCCCTAAACTCCACTCCCGTGTCTGAGATTGTCATGGGGTCGGACCATAGCGAAGGTGACCAGCCCAACCCTAAGCCTGTGCCAATCTGGGTTTTATTTGGTTTCAAAGGGGGTTCTGTATACTATCCCGCGTGAGAATGTTGTTGGATCTTTGCGTAGGGCTTCTTTACAAATTCAGGGTGTTTGTTTATGGGAAACCTTAAAAACCTAAACCCTAAAACCCTAAACCCTAAAACTCTAAACCCTAAAACCCTAAATCCTAAAACCCTAAACCCTAAAACTCTGAACCCTAAACCCCTAAACCCTAAAACCCTAAACCCTAAAACTCTAAACCCCAAAAAACCCTAAGCCCTAAAACCCTAAACCCTAAAACCCTCAATCCTGAACCCCAAAGCCGATGCTAGAGATGGTAGCGCTAGGCTGGTTTGAAGATCGAGGTTTCGAGTTTCAATTTTCGGGTTTTCGGTCCGGTTCCCGTCCTCCATTCCATCTCTTAGAGTCTACTCTAGGGTTTAGGGCCCAGGGCTTGGGGTTTAAATTTGGGTAGGGTTTAGAGTTTAGTGCCTAGGGCTTGGACTGCAAATTTGGGTAGGGTTTAGGCTTAGTGTTTAGTGCCTAGGGCCTAGGGCTTGGGGTTTAAATGTGGGTAGGTTTCAGGACCCTAAACCCTAAACCCTAAACTTTTTGTGTTTAGTGCCCAGGGCCTAGGGTTTGGAATTAATTGGGGTTTCTGGCTTCGGGCCGGGGGTCTTCTCCGAAACGAAGCATTTCAATCAGGAACTCGTAACTCTTGTAGGGTTTAGGGTTTTAGGGTTTAGGGTTTTCGGGTTTGGGGGTTTAGGGTTTAGGGTTTTAGGGTTTAGGGTTTAGGGTTGAGCCAGCCCGAAACTCCCGCACCACGATCCCCTGACCGCGACTACGTGCTCGAAGTGAACGGTCTCGAAACTCCCACGCCTCACGCCTCAAAGGGGTCTTCGGCGCTATCATAGTATCAACCCTAAACCCCTAAACCCTAAACCATAAACCCCTAACCCTAAACCATAAACCCCTAAACCCTAAACCATAAACCCCTAAACCCAAACCCCTAAACCCCTAAACCCTAAACCGTAATCGTCGAAGCTCTACTCTGGCGGTCGTGGCACTTTTGCATGTCATGGCGCATGGTTGATGAAAGTTAGTGCCCCAGGCCCTGTAGCGTCAAGCCTACCAAAATATGAACATCTCTGAACCCGAACACCCCAAGCCAGAAGTCCTACACAATTAAGGGTTTCTAGAATCTAGAAATCGGTGCCATAAGCTTGCCCACAGGGGCTGTCGACGAGATGCAGTCGGGGTTGGTGGCGCCGCTGCAGAGCTGGCTGTCCGCCAAGAGCCGCCCGGCGAGATCTGGGAAAAAAAACTTCGCGTTTAGGGTCGAGGCAGACTTGGGCTGGGAAGTTGCCTGATATGGTAGAGTCACCTTGTAGGGTTTCGGGATTGGGTTTCAGGCTTGGGGTTAAGGGCTTATGTAGGGTGTAGTTAGGGCCGCGCACGTACGTATCTTACGGTCTTACGGCACACTTTTCTGCAGGTTTTGCGGTTTGGAGGCTTGCACATTGGGTTCTAGGAGCTTCCAACTTTGTCTGAAAAATGGGCTCTGAACCCACGCCTGCCAGCAACAGTCAAGACAGAGGCATATCTGCACTGTCGGTTCAGAGCCCATTCTTCTTCCTTCCGTATAATCCTGGCTACCCCTGCGGCAAGCTACGTACGTGTGACCAGGTAGGGTTATCCATGGTCTGCTGGCTTATCAGTGTGAGTCCTTCCTCCAACTAGCACCCTAAACCCTAAACCCTAAACTGTAGAGAAAGCTTGCAGTTCGACACGTCGCTTGAAGTTGGAAGCGAGCTCCGGGTCTTGCCTTCCCACTTCTTCTGGAAGCCCTGGACGGTTTAGGGTTTAGGGTTTAGGGCTGGACCTTTTGAGGTGAAGTCGTGCAGATCGAAGACACCGACCTGGTGCAGCTTGACTGGCTGGAGAGAGCCGAGTGGACATAGGTTTGAGGCAAAATGTTGCGGACCTTGGAGAATATCGATGCAGCGAATTTTCGGGTCGGGCTACAGCTTGAGACAATGATGATGCAACTGCAAAGAGCCGGCAGCATGAGAACGCAGAGAGCTGTTCGTCTCCCGGAGCAGGCTCCAAGTGAACCGTTGGCTTCCCAAGAGTCTGTGACATGGAAATCCCCGCTGGCCCAACAAGCGAAGGGAACGACAACACTCCTGTTTGCTCACCACCTCTTCTGCATTCCTAGCACGTTTGGGACCACTTGCACCATGCTATCCCGGCCCGCTAGTACCACTCGAGAGAGTCTGACAGATGCTATCAGGAATGTCCGCACCGCAAGCAGCGATGGCTTCAGCCTGATGCGCTTTGAGAAGGATTTGTCCAAGAAGGCCTCCAGCGTCAGCGTGTGCGACACGGATTGGGGTAGGTACTCGCACATACCTGTACCCCCAAACCGGACAAAATAGTATTTTAATTATATGGTATAACCTCAAAACCAGTAGTCTTTGGGTGTTGGTATTGGCGATTGAGGTTCAGAGTTCGTGATCCTGGGAGGGCTCGGGGATGTGACAGCCCCATACTCTCAGAGTATGGGACACTCAAGTCTAAGATAACTCTATGGTTCCACTGTTCCACTCATCGTTTCATGTCGGGCTTCGGGGTACTCGAAGCCAGAATGCTTAAGTCGACGTGCGATGCAACACCTACAACCCGATCCAGAACAGGAATTGGTGCAGCAGCTTCACGCAGAGCCCCTCCTTCAGCTTTGCAACTTTCCCTGTTTGGCTCATTGTTAACCCAGAGACCCCAATACCCCTTAATTAAGGAATATACCTTAAATCATATAAAGGATCCTACTATAATTTCAGGTATATTGCTTAATTAAGGGGTATTGGAGTCCCTGGGAAGCTTGCTCGGATCTCATGGTCGAGAGTGCGACAAAACGCAAGACTGGAGGATGGCAGAGCTCGCAGCCGACAGTTGGTTCTGTACCAAAAACGGTTTAGGGTTTAGGGTTTAGGATTTAGGATTTAGGGTTTAGGGTTTAGGATTTAGGGTTTAGGATTTAGGGCTTAGGGTTTAGGGCTTAGGGTTTAGGGTTTAGGCGTTGAGACGGGACTATTAATCGGGCCTGAGCGCTTGGCAGACGTTGGCATTGGCAGAATGCTAGATCTGTGCGCAACAGCTGATAAGACAACCCAACCTTGGCTTCATGTATTGGCTGCTTGAAACTTAAACCCTAAACCCTAAACCAAAAGAACACTTGACAACTTGACAAGCCAGTTTTGCACTGGCAGGTTGCAGCTGTCTGCAACTCTCAGCAGCCCACACCCAGGGTTTGCCAGTACGTAGACGTATTCGATATTGTCTGTTTCCCGGAACACGAGGTGCCTAGGATGTCACCGAGTTCCGCAGAGAGAGGACTTGACCTCTGAACCTGGCAGTTACATCTCGAAGCTACCTCACCTTCCGATGGTGCGGGAAGTGAGTCGGAGCTGTTCGCTTAGCAGATGAGGGATAGGGTTCTGGGTTTTCAGCTTTTGGAAGCAAGTTGTCCGGGCGTAAGGTGCAGAGTAGGGCTCTCAAAAGCCAAGGCAACTACAGCAGTTATGTGGACGAGATCATGGCCAAGTGCCAGCAGATGCACGCGGATGCCGCTCGTTGTTCGAGCCCGCGACCGGCCCACCATGCCTTTGCCATGCTAGAATGCTCTAACCCCTAAAGCCCAGGCTCTAAACCCTAAGCCCTGAACCCTAAAGTGAGATCAAACACAGTGAGGCCGGCCTCCGGATCCGCGCGAAGGCGGCCCAGTTGGTGGCGAAGTTTGTGGACTTAGACGGAGGTGACCATCGAATGGAGGTGCAGCCGGTGGCCTAGGTTGACAGGGTTCAGGGTTTTAGCTCAGGGCCTAGGGTTTAGGGCATTAGAGTTATTATTGTCGGTTAGAGACTCTTGGCCTCAATGTTGGGTTCTATGCATCGCCCTAAAACCCAAGTCCTGGCTTCTCTCGGAGTGTCTGCCTCACAATGGCAAAGGTGATGACGTTACTGTTGGTGATGATGAGGAGGAGGATGACGAGGAGGAGGAGGACAGTATAACTTTTTACAAGGCAGGGGCGCCTTGGTAGGCCCCTCAAACCTGAACCCTAAACCCTCATCCCTTAACCCTAAACCCTGAACCATAAACTCTAATCCCTGAACCCTAAACCCTGATCCCTAAACCCTATAATCCCTAAACCCTGATCCCTAAACCCTAATCCCTAAACCCTAAACCCTAAACCCTTAATAAACCCTGATCCTGTTGCGAGGTCCACCCGCTTCTCCTGCACTCGGACCATGAGGCTCGCGGCGGGTGTCTTTTGCTAGGCGCCTGGTGAGGATGGCCATCAAGACTCTAACACATACTGTCCAACACCACAATATACGGCTAACATACTAGAGTAGATTATAAAAAGCCGAAAAGTTGCTAGAATACATTATTATAAACCCTAAGCCCTAAAATTAAAGATTTTGTTTGTGGGTATACATGTATATATATATATATAGAGAGAGAGAGAGAGAAAAAAAAAACTATGGTAGAAGCAGATTGACGTCACGTCAGGTGAGCAAGGTCGAGCTGCGCTGCAACGTGGATGAGTTTCTCAGAGACCTGCTGGGACGCCTCCGGACTGCAAATGGATGTACACTGTTTGGAGTACCGGCTTTGGGGTTTAGGGTACAGGTTTCAGGGTTTAGAGCTTAGGGTTCAGGGTTTACGGGTGTAGGGGCTTGGGGGTTTAGAGGTTTAGGGTTGAGAGCTCGGGTTTTAGGGTTTAGGGTACAGGTTTTAGGGTTTAGAGCTTAGGGTTCAGGGTTTAGGGGCGTAGGGGCTTAGGAGTTTAGGGGTTTAGGGTTGAGAGCTCAGGTTTTAGGGTTTAGGGGACATCAGAGTGCGTCTCTAGGCCTCATGGCTCATGGCTTCAAGTATGAGAAGGGGGGTCTGGTGCTTGTAGGTGGATCAGAGTTTGGCAAGTTTGTTTCGATAGAAACGAAGGAATATGAACGGTAAGTATGGACAAAAAGCTTCACCTGATGGATACAGGGCTTCAAGAGTTTGGGGTTGTGTCCTTCGCTTGCCGCTGCCGTGCTCAGCACCCTGCCGCTTGCCGAGTTTTCCTTCGGGAGATTCCATCGCCGAAGAAGTTGCCCCTTGGCGTTGGGATTGAAGGAAGAAATGAGGAGAAGATCGAGGACAGGCTAGTGTTTGCTTGGTTGCCGTTCGGGGCGTCGTGGGTGAAGCTTTCGGTTGGATTGCGGGTTTTGCAGCTGGGGGTCTCGGGCGGAGCCGGCCCCCAAGCATCCTCACCGTACCGAGCGGAGGAAGACCCAAGAGCGATGTTCAGGTGATCATCGCGCCTTCTTGAAAATGCCTGGGTTTGTGGGGTGATCCGTCCTTCGCTGGAACTCAACTCGGCACACTCCACACCCTTCGCAATCCTGGCTTCCTGGCATGCCTTTGCTCATTCTACTCCTAGCATCCAAGAACCCTTGACCAGCAACCTTAAACCATCCAAGTTAGACTTACCCGTGCTGCCCCGCAACAGCACACCCAAAATGTCAAAATCGTAGATCTACAAAATCCACGACACACCCACACTGAAAGCTGAGTCTATGAGGCAGAGGCTCCACGAGGGTGTCGAAGTGGGTAAGGCCGGGTGTGTCGAGAGATTGTCGATAGTCTCCATTGTAGCTCCTTTTCTTGGTTAAACCAATTTTATTGTCTGGATCCCTAAACCCTAAACCCTCAACCCTAAGGTAGCCCAAAGAAGCAACTACTGCGGAGACTCTAGGCCGTGGAACTCGGGATCGGGAGAACAAAACCATGGGTCTTCAGTCCCCAGGTCTTCTAATCGCGGCGCTTTCCGTGCGTATGTGTGTGTGTGTATGTATGTATGTATGTATGTATGTATGTATGTATGTATGTATGTATGTATGTATGTATGTATGTATGTATGTACTCATATGTATATTAATTTAATATTTATATATATATATATATAGAATATATGTATATGTACTGGGAGAGAGAGAGAGAGAGACAGAGCGGGAGAGAGTGAGTGAGAGAGATTTCGGCTTGGATGCCGACTTCGACTAGGTGTCTTTCGTGCCTTTCCACTCAGTCGGGCTTGAAGACTGTAGAGTTCTAAACCCACCCGACTAAAACATCAAGAGCCAAGAGAAAACAAGTCATCCCGAGCTTGGAACTTTCGGTTTAGATTCTTGTGGTGCATGCTGCCTGCCAGGTCATAGACGACCTGTCATCTCGATGGCACAACGAATATTCGCGAAGCAAAGCAGATGTGATAGGACCACTGACCAGTAGCGAAGCGCAAACTCGAACCGGTTCTGTCTTTTCTGCCCCACAGAAAACAGGATGCAGCACAGAGATGCAATCCAGAGAATCTCGATGTGCCCGCCGTAATACCTTGAACCCTACTTAAACCCTTCAAGCACGAATTCAGGCGTACACCTGCTTACAGTGCTGCCCCAAACCCCTGAACCGTTGACCCAAAACCCTACTTCCCTAAACCTCTGAAACTTTAACCCTAAACCCTACATCCCTAAACCCCTGAACCCTCAAACCTAAACCCTACACCCCTAAGCCCCGAAACTCTAACCCTACACTCTACATGCCCCAAGCCCTACACGCCTAAACCCACGGACAGGAGCGGTCGGAGGCCGAGCAGGAGTTGGGACGCCTGAGCCTCGGTTCGTGGTTCCACCTCCTTACCTCCGAGGCCGAGATGCCCCTAAGGGTTTAGGGTTTAGGGTTAAGGGTTTAGGGTTCAGGGTTAAGGGTTTAGGGTTTAGGATTTAGGGTTTAGGGTTTAGGTAGGGTTTAGGGTTGATGAAATAAGCCTGCATTACCCTCAGGGCCCAGCCTAAACTATGGGAATTGCGGTATAGTCCTTATCCTGGGGAATCATCAACCCTATCTTCCCTGACAGGGCTCCTTTAAGGTCTCCCTGAAAGGGCTCCTGGAAGGGTTCTGTCAGGGATCTCTAGGGTATGAAGTCCCTTAAAGGGCTCCGTATAAAGGGTTCTATATGGGATGTTTTGGGTGTAGGGTCGGGTTTAGGGTTTAGTTAGGGTTGCGATCCTCCAAGTACAGGAGGCCGCCTTAATAACATTATCCCCTTATAGCCGTTATTGCAATGACAGTGCAGTGTACCCCAAAACCCTATAGTCTATTGATTCGGGCGGGGGTTTAGGGATGAAGGGTTGGGGCCTCTACGCCGGTACTGTGTTGCACAGAGTGAATGGAGGCAAGGGTTGATGGCACTGATGGGTGTGTGGACGTTGAGGCTGCGTTTTGTGTGCTCGCTTCCACCATGCCGCGTGTGGTCCATGCCAGTTGGGATGTTGTGAGCTGCAGCTGGTCCTTTTGGCCGATCCGTCTTATCTTCCACGATTTTGGCCCTACCCACCGGGAGTTGGCTGCACCTAAATGCACTCCTGGAACATCGCTGGCCGGGTGTGAGGGCTGTTGATGCCACCAGGTTCAGGTAGATCGCGAGCTGCGCCTTGGACTAAGGGTTTTTGATAATTTCGGGCTTGGGGGTCGGGGAATCTGGGGTTTTCCTTGCGCGCAGAACGCCGCCTGGCCCCCTGGTCGCCCCTTGAGGCCAACGTGTCCAGGTGCGGGGCATATGACAGCAGGACAAATGGGCTAACGTGCCTGCTGGGGGGCTAACGGCAAAGATCTTGGGAGGGGAGGCCTGTTATCAACTGCGAGGCGTTCTTGCTACCCCGTCTGGATATGTCCTGCGTGCTGTTTGCCGATGCGTGTTTTGAGCATGTTTGGATTTGCTCCGCTTGTGCACCGTATCCTTTGTGTCCTTTGTATGCCATAGCAATTGTTGCATTTGCGTGCGTGCCTATCTCTCTGGTTCTGTCGATCGGTAACAGCGCCAGAATCTATGCTCGCATCCTTTAATAGAGCCCTTGTGGTCCTGAATAGTGGTATTTAGGATATAGTTATAGAGGGTAGTTGGGTGTGCAGGTAGATCGTCAATCCTTATTATCAGACCCCTGGAGTCCTGGACACTGGATGCCCTGGAGTCCTGGACCCCCCTGGGAGATCTTGCACAGCGCCGTTTCTTGATCACTTGCAGATTGTGCTAGCTGACTACCACGCTCCCGATGCCACCATACCACGTGTGGTCAATGCCAGTTGGGACATTGTCAGCTGCAGCGGTTTCTGTCGCTTGATCCGTCTTGTCTTCCATGGTTTGTGCCCTACCCACCGGGAGTTCGCTGCACCTATATTCTACGCGATCCCGGCACACCGCCGGCCGGGTGTGAGGGCAGTTGAAGCCAGCCGAGAATGTGGCGCAGCCTCGACTCGGCTGCCCCTTGAGGCCAACGTGTCCAGGTGCAGGACATATGACAGCATGACACATGAGCTAACGTGCCTGCTGGGGGGCTATAAGGGCAAAGGTCTTGATAGGGGAGGCTCGTTCACAACTGCGGCGCACTCTTGCTCGCCTTGCGTGCCTGTCTTGGGTGCTGCTTCATTGCATGATTTTGGGTTCTGTGCCTTGGTGGTTCATTGTGCTTGGGTTTGTTCTGCTTGTTGTGCCTATATGACAGTGAGCGCGAGCTTGCAAGCTTGAGTCCGAAGCCCGGATTTGTTCGGGGATCCTCGTTGTAGTTCTACGTTTATATATATATATATATATCTTTATATTTATTTTTTCCCGTCCGGACAGCAGCCTAAACCGAATGGGGCTCAGGGTGTAAGCCAGGAATGGCCAACAGAGAATTCCCGAATCCACCTCGTCAGATAAGGCTTGAAGGAGGAGATGCGCAAGACAGAAGCACCTGGGACTTGCACAGTGCTGCCTGTGCAGTGCTTCGAGCAAGCCATAAGTTGTAAGCCATTAAACCCTAAATCCCAAACCCTAAAACCTAAGACATGGAGCTCAAACCCTAAACCCTAAACCCCAAACCCTAAAACCTAAGACATGGAGCTCAAACCCTAAACCCCAAACCCCCAAACCCCTAAACCCCAAACCCCTAAACCCTAAAACCTAAGACATGGAGCTCAAACCCTAAACCCTAAACCCGAAACCCCTAAACCCCCAAACCCCGAAACCCTAAAACCCAAGCCATGGAGCTCCTTGGTTTAGCCGAGCATGTCCAAAAGTTGTGGAGCCTAAAACCGGGTGATGAAGCAATATGGGTAGGGTTTGAGCTCCATGGCTTAGGTTTTAGGGCTTAGGGGTTTGGGGGTTTAGGGGTTTAGGGGTTTGGGGTTTTCTAAATTAGGGTCCCTTTGGGGGTCCTTTTTATAAGGGTGCCGTACTATATTGGGGACCTAAGAAGGGACTCTATTTTAGAGAACTACCCATATACTTCTTGTTGTGGCCACAAGGACGCCAGGTGCAGAGAGGATTCTTATTAGGTTCAGTTTTACGGCATTTTCCTTGGCTAACGTGTTTTTGGAATCTTTGAGCTGGATCAAACAATGCCCTGAACGACAAGTTGCGCCGAGGATCCAACACCGAACTTGTTGAATCCGAATCAGCACACCTTCAGAGCCTCAACTGCGCAGCTAAGCTTCGCGTTAAGGAGCCTCCGAAGCTCCAGCGAGATGCAAGCCCAGCCACTGTGTAAGCTGATCTAAGAAACCTGACTCCAAAACTGCGGCACCTTGAACCCTACAGCACTGGTAACAGCCATGGCACTAGCGCCAGCACTCAAAATGCCTATGCTACTCACCCCGGGTTCTGGAGCTGATCTCAGGTGGCCAGGGATGGCATCCGACGCGCCTTGGACATCGACGACGAGGAAGTGGCTGCGATCACGGACTTGAATCCGATATAGCTTGACCTAACGCCGCGGGGAGGTGTTGCTAGCGCTTCAAGTTTAGTCCTGGTTTCCCAAGCCGGAGGCTGATACCCTCATCCTTCATAGTGATTCGGCTCGGATTCCTGCTTCTGCTTCCGAGGCAGAAGCTGCTGAAACTGTTAACCCCATCAAGAGCTGAAGCTCCAGACGGCTGATGGGGCTCGGAGGCCCTTCACCGCGGAACATGAAAGCAGCGTAGGCACACCCCCAGTTTCCCAAGCTACAGTTCCAGCCCCAAGACCAGTAAGATAGGGGCCTTAACAATTACCTATATTACTTTCGGCTTCCTCGTTATATTTACAGTATAATATACCCCAAAACCCTATATTCTAATCATTAAGGCCCTTATGGTATGACTGCAAAGCCCAAGTCCACCAGCCAAAGCATGGCAGGAGTTCGAGCAGATGCGTCAGAAACTGGAGGCATGTGGGGTGTAACCTTCCGTCATATGGGCAGTTCTCTAAATTAGGGTCTCTTCTAGGGTCATTTTTATAAGGGTGCCGTACTATATCCGGGACTTAAAAAGGGCCCCTAATTTAGAGAACGACCCATATACATAGCATATAGCATCGACGAGACCACACCGCCGAGCAATCTCCACGGCGGCCCCTACGACTCCTTGCCCTCACAACAGCTGCTTGACATTTCCTGACATATTGACAACGGTTTAGGGCGTTGGGCTTCGTCTTTAGGGTGTGTGATGTGCTTCTACCCTTTACCCTATAAAGCCCTATAAACCGTATAAACCCTAGACCCTAAACCCTCCTACAGCGCCCACAGCGCTCACATGACGTCTTGTGGAGAGGCGGAAGCCGACTCAGCAGATTGCTGCCTCTCCCGGGAAGGCCGTGGGAAGAGAAGGGACAAGAGGATGTTGGGGCTTTGAGTTTAGAGTTACGCTTAGGGGTTGGTGTAGGGGTTTAGGGTTCAGTTGAGGCTTCGGGGTGTAGTAGGAGAGAGTGTGGAGTGCTAAAGGCGTTATTGTAGGGTTCAGGGTCGAACGTAAAAATTCATGGTCCGGGTCGGGCTTACCGTCACAGGCCCGGGCCACAAACCCCGCCATCACATCTCGCCACTTCGGGGAACCCAGAAAACCAAGAAGGTCCCTAAATCTTATTCCCAAGTCCTCGTCTTTAGGACCTAGGCCCCAGATCCTGTTCCGAAGTCCAACTCTTCAGGGTCTACTCCTCAGTTCGCTTGAAGGTGGGGCTTGTTGAGGTTGGGGGTGGAGCAGGGCTGAGGTTTCCAGGAAAGGAGCTTAGGGTTTAGGGCTTAGGGTTTAGGGTCTAGGGGTTTAGGGTTGAGGGTTTAGGGTTTCGGGTTTAGGGTTGACGGCGTGACCCGTAACTCCCAGCAAGCCTGAACCCCAAACCCGAAACGTGCCAGCACGAAGGCTCCCGGATCTGTGAAGCTCCCCAAGCCAGGCCTACCGCCGCCTAAACCCTAAGGGACATTAAGTTCAGGGCACAGGATCTAGCTTAGACCGAAAGCACGCGATAGAGGAACGACAGCTTTGTCGTGGCCTACCTCAACATCCTCAGCCAGTTCGGGGATGCTTGGCCGTGGAAGTCGTCCTATCTGTTCCGGGCTCTCAGGCCCTCAACCTTAAACTCATGGGTAGTTTTCTAAATGAGGGTCCCTTTTTAGGTCCCCAATATGGTACGGCACCCTTATAAAAAGGACCCCCAAAAGGGACCCTAATTTAAAGAACTACCCTCATGAAATTCCGAAACCCTTTCAAGCCTCGGCCACGTTTTCGGGTCTAAGCGCCAGTGCCGTGAGGGCCGGAGGCTGGCACGGCCAGGGTTTGGGGCATTCGTGACTTGTGGTCGGTCACTGTCGGGTGTACATACCGCTTCTTTAGGCTATAAAGTACTATACCAGCTGTAGATACAGAATTTGAGCCGGTTTTAGGTGATGTTCTTCGGGCAGACGGAACATGGTGCTGTCTTTGCGGGGGTTCGCCTTGCTTGGCAGCTTTCATCTCGTGCTTGCTGCTGTTTTCTGTTACCCTGTGCTTAGCTCGGCTGCAACACTCAGCCTAAAAAAACTGCTTCACTGGCTGACTCAACCTTGCATTTCTGCACAAACAGCTGCCATGCCCTCGAACTCCACACTCTCGCCTAGGATATGTCGATGGGGCATTCGTATACTGTGATCAGGGCCGAGATGGTTGAGGGTTGTACATTGTGAGCGGCCCAGGTGATGGCTCTTTATACGGCGATTTAGTCCTACAAACTGAACCCGAATCCATAGACCCCTCAAACCCTGAGCATTGCAGGCGCAAGCGCCAAACCCCGATGGTTTCAAACCCTAAACCAGCATCTCTAATGCCCCCTTAGCTCTTTCTAAGGCCAAGACCCTATATTCCTAAACCTCGACCCACCAGTGGACTCCGCTGACCTTGAACCCCGTAGCTTTGAGACAGCCCTCGCCGACAAAAGGAGTCGGTCATTGCCGGGCGAGGCCTCGTTTTCGGATTCCGGGGTTCGGTGATCCTTTAAAGGGTGCTATAATTACTATATGGTTTATAGGCTTCAGGGTTTAGGGTCTTAAGGTTTGTGATGTCGAGTTTAGGGCTTGGGGGTTTAGTTTGGGTGTTCGGATCGCGGGCGTCGGTGCATGGTGTTCAGATCTGTTGCCAATCGACATGTTGAGCTGCTGGCTGAACTGGTAACTGGCTCATCGGGGCGTCGCGAACAGAAGCCACAGGGTAAGTGCATAGAGTGTTTGGGCAGACATGCTTATTTCGAAATCTGCACGGACCGATGCAATGCTCCGAAAGGTCAAGACAAGCATTCCACGACTTTCTGTCTGCCTGTCAGGAAGCCACTAGCAGCCCGACCCTTCAGCCGGCTGCCCATGTGGTGTCGGATGCATCTACGGCGCTGCCATCGCCCATTGCTCCGGCTCTGGTCACCTCTGCCCCAGAGGCCGGTCTGTTGAATTTGGATAGCCGTCTGCACCTTCACGGACCGGTCGCGGGTGATGGGTGTTTGTGTTTGCACTTATTCCTCTTGGAGCCCTTGCCGTCTGCATTCCAGTCAGTCCTGTGGCTTAAAGGGTAAAGTCGGCTCACTGGTTTAACCTAGGAATGCTAAGGATTGTAAATCAATTTTAAAATGATTTCCCGAAAGGACGCTCACTGAAGATTCGCAAAATTAAGGCCGTCCCGGCACAGAACGGCGAAAGTTACACTAAAAGCAAAAAAGCTTCCCATGAAGCCGTGAAAGCAGACATCGCGAAAGCCTCACGCATCCCTCGTCAACATAGAGGAGAAACGTAAAACGACCTTTGTTGCTGCTCCTCCTGCCAAGGAGGCTGCCACGAGCACAAATCTCGAGGCGGCCTTGAAAGTTGTGCCAGACGCGGCCACAACCCACGCCATCCCTGCCTCCGAGGCCAACGTGACTGCAGCTTCGCTGCAGCATTGGTTATTAAGTTGCTTCGGCGTTCACATTACTCTCTTCCAGTGACTGTTTGCAGCATCTACATGCAGGAGCCACTCCTCAACAACAAACTGAAGAATTTTGGGAAGGTCCCGAAATTGGGGTGCCCTCTTGCATCCCCAGAAGAAGGCGTCACGCTTATAGTAGAGACCCTAGGCGCTACGACCTGTAAACTCCATCAGCCCTACAATGGATTATAAGCATTGTCCTAAACCCGACAAGTCCTACAAGGGCCCCAATTTGGGGTAGCCAGAAATAGCCTTGGCAACATGAGCCTTAAACCCTAAATCCTAAACCAGGCCCCCCCATGTCCTCTTGCCCGACTCCTCCCAAGGCTCAGCTGCCGGACGTGAAGACGGGCCCGCCTCCGCCGTCTTCGCAGCAGACCGATCAGGCAGAGGCCAGTCGGAGATGTGTTGATTTCTTTAGGATTTAGGGTTCAGGGTTTAGTTTTCTCAAGGTTCAGTTTAGGGTCCAGGGCTGTTGAGTTTTAGGGTTTAGGGAGGGGGTTGTGTTCCTTTGACCTTCATTGCTCTGGGGCCTCTCAAGTAGTACATCCCAGCATCCTGGCAATAAGGATTGCTTCCCTGCGCTGCTCCCAGCGAAATTGTTGAAATGCCAGAGACGGCAAAACTGCATGGACAAGGCTTGTTAAGACATCTTCGGAAAACCCGGGCGAGTCCCTCAGAGAAGGCCTGACAGACAGTCTTTGACAGAAGGGAGGGAGGGAGAGAGAGAGAGAGAGCGCGACAAAGCGAGAGAGAGCGAGAGGGAGAAAACACAACAGAAAATTGATGCTGTTATCTTCGAAGTCAGCACTGGAGCACATCGATGACCAATCCCTGGTCGACTTAGGAAACTTAGGGTTTTTAGGTCAGGTTTAGGGTTACATTTTACGAAGGCTATTTCTGGCTGGATGCCGTAACCGTTCTATAAACAAACTGCAGTTCTCTAGATCTTTCTTGCAAGCAAGCAGTGTGCTTTGTTTGCGAAATGTCTTTCCATCACAGTGTTTGAGGCTGGAACTTCTGCAGAGATTGGCGGCCAAGTGCAGCTTGGTGGACTTTAGCCCACGATCATGCTGCCAGGTAGAGATGCCTGCTTAGAGGCTGCGTCATGCTTCGTTCTACGATGAAGGCCAAGCGGCCTAATTATTGCTCAGGTGCGAGTTTATGGCCGTCCCCCTGCCTGTCTCTCTGGCTGTCTGGCTGTCTGTCTGTCTGCCTGGCTGTCTGTCTGTCTGTCCGTC